CTCATAGCGTTGTGGTCAGAAAAGATGCTTGGTATGATTTCAATTTTCTTAAATTTACTGAGGCTTGATTTGTGACCCAAGTTGTGATCTATCCTGGAGAATGTTCCATGTGCACTTGAGAAGAAAGTGTAATCTGCTGTTTTGGGATGGAATGTCCTATAAATATCAATTAAATCTATCTGGTCTATTGTGTCATTTAAAGCTTGTGTGTTTCCTTATTAAATTTCTGTTTGGATGATCTGTCCGTTGGTATAAGTGAGGTGTTAAAGTCCCCCACTATTATTGTGTTATTGTCGATTTCCTCTTTTATAGCTGTTAGCAGTTGCTGTATGTATTGAGGTGCTCCTATGTGGGGTGCATATGTATCTATAATTGTTATATCTTCTTCTTGGATTGATCCCTTGATCATTATGTAGTTCCCTTCCTTGTCTCTTGTAACATTCTTTGTTTTAAAGTCTATTTTATCTGATATGAGTATTGCTGCTCCAGCTTTCTTTGGATTTCCATTAGCATGGAATATCTTTTTCCATCCCCTCACTTTCAGCCTGTATGTGTCCCTAGGTCTGAAGTGGGTCTCTTGTAGACAGCATGTATATGAGTCTTGTTTTTGTGTCTATTCAGCAAGCCTGTGTCTTTTGGTTGGAGCATTTACTCCATTCACATTTAAGGTAATTATTGATATGTATGTTACTATTACCATTTTCTTAATTTTGGGGGGTTTGTTTTTGTAGGTCCTTTTCTTCTCTTGTGTGTCCCACTTAGAGAAGTTGCTTTAGCATTTGTTGTAGAGCTGGTTTGGTGGTGCTGAATTCTCTTAGCTTTTGCTTGTCTGTATAGCTTTTGATTTCCCCATCGAATCTGAATGAGATCCTTGCTGGGTAGAGTAATATTGGTTGTAGGTACTTCCCTTTCACCACTTTAGGTAAATCATGCCACTCCCTTCTGGCTTGTCAAGTTTCTGCTGAGAAATCTGTTAACCTTAATGGGAGTTCCCTTGTATGTTATTTGTCATTTTTCCCTTGGTGCTTTCAATAATTTTTCTTTGTCTTTAATTTTTGCCAATTTGATTACTGTGTGTCTTGGTGTGTTTCTCCTTGGGTTTATCCTGTATGGGACTCTCTGCACTTCCTGGACTTGGGTGGCTTTTTCCTTTCCCATGTTAGGGAAGTCTTCTGCTATAACCTCTTAAAATATTTTCTCGGGTCCTTTCTCTCTCTGTTCTCCTTCTGGGACCCCTATAATGCGAATGTTGGTGCGTTTAACGTTGTCCCAGAGGTTTCTTAGGCTGTCTTCATTTCTTTTCATTCCTTTTTCTTTATTCTGTTCTGTGGCAGTGAATCCCACCATTCTGTCTTCCAGGTCACTTATCCGTTCTTCTCCATCAGTTATTCTGCTTTTGATTCCTTCTAGTTCATTTTTCACTTCAGTTATTGTATTGTTCATCTGTTTGTTTGTTCTTTAATTCTTCTAGATCTTTGTGAGACCTTTCTTGCATCTTCTCAATCTTTGCTTCCATTCTTTTTCCGAGGTCCTGGATCCTCTTCACTATCATTATTCTGAATTCTTTTTCTGGAAGGTTGCCTATCTCCATTTCATTTAGTTGTTTTTCTGGGGTTTTATCTTGTTCCTTCATCTGGTACATAGCCCTCTGCCTTTTCATCTTGTCTGTCTTTCTGTGAATGTGGTTTTTGTTCCACAGGCTGCAGGACTGTAGTTCTTCTTGCTTCTGCTGTCTGCCCTATGTAAATACTCTTAAACATTATAAGTACTCTAAACATCAAATATATCTTATTCCCAAATATAATTTCAGAGTATTAAAACCATAATTTTAATTTACTTATTTTTCCTCTATTAATTTTAAAGTTTCTTTTTGTGAGAACATTTAACCAAACAGCAGTTTGTCACTCCAACCTGAGAGGTTTCTGACCCCATACACAAGACTTGATTTTCACTGCCCCATGGTGGATATCCTGACTTGTTTTGTTTTTCTGAATTACAATTACACACAGTTTAAAGGGAAAATAGTTCTTTATGCTGTGTTTAAACACATCAGGTGTTCTGTCAGTTATATCTTCTTGGGACTGTCATTCAGGAATGTGCTGACCTATCTCATTGTTGCCTGGGTAGTAGACCTGCTTGCATGCCTATAGTTCTGTGTTGCATCCCTTATCCCCTGATTCCCCTATCTTTATGTTTCTTAGTATACTTCCTCATGTTATTGGGATATCTCTTCTATTAGTTTCCTGAGAAGAAAAACATTAGAGGTACATTTTTGAGACCTTGAATGTTTTAAAGTATTTTTATTCTACTTGGCAAATTTGGGTTTATTAATACAGAATTTTAAGGTGGAAATTATTATCCATCAGAAATTTGAAGCATTATTCCCTTTTTGTTTTCTGAATTTCACACCCCCACCCCCCCAGCTTCTAGCGTTGTTGGTAAAAAAAAAAAATGATTTATTTGGATTCATAACCTTTGGTATGGAACCTGCATTATTTCTTTCTGGAAGCTTTTAGTACCCTCTCTTTGTTTCCAGTATTGTAAAATTTTATAAGATTCTGTTTTCAACTGGTAGAAGATAGCTGGAGGGTCTAAAACTATACTAAGAAGAGTATCGAGGGTTACTCTTCATTGCAGTGCATGGGCTTCTCATTGCAGTGGCTTCTCTTGTGGAGCGTGGGCTCTAGGCATGCAGGCTTCAGTAGTTGCAGCACAAGGGCTCAGTAGTTGTGGCACATGGGCTTAGTTGCTCCGTGGCATGTGGGATCTTCCCAGAACAGGGATCAAACCCATGTCCCGTGCATTGGCAGGCAGATTCTTAGCCACTGCCCCACCCGGGAGGTCCCTCTGTTCCTAGCCCTACTTCCTGAGATCCTTGGCATCAGTTTTTGAGATGATGCCTGCAGGAGTGCAAAAAACTTTTCAGCTTTCCCTCTTCAGGTAAGGATTCACTTTCTTGATCTCTATTGAGTCACTTATTAAACATTTTACCTTTCTAGCTTCCAAAATGTGCTGTGGTCTCCTCTCCAATTGTCTTTATCCTTGTGAATTTATAGTCTTCCTTTTTTAAAAAATATTGACTGTCATTTTACTGTGGTTGAGAAGGAGTTGAGCCATATCTCTCCAATCTTTAAGCACACACCGTCAACTTTTTTTTTGATAATAATGTGTACAAGACCATACCATTTAGAGATGCTAAATTTCTTCCTGATTCAAGATAAACTCTTAGGTAATTTTTCTGTTAACTGAAAACTAGACTTCTTCAAAAGGTACAGCTAATTTCCTTTCTGGTTGGTTTCAGTTTAACATTTCTTTTAAAAGTCTAATGTATTCTGAAATTTTTCTGTCTCATTCTAAAGGAACTTTAGTGCCTTCCCATAGGTGTTTATGTATATATAAATTCTTATACAGCTCATATCTGGTTTAAGGTCTCTACCTTATTCTTCTCTGATCTGACAAGAATTCCTGCAGATATATCTCTGGTTCCAGATCTTCTGTCTCTGTGAGTGATATATTAATTTCCTATTGCTCCTATAACAAATTAACACAAATGTAGTCGCTTAAAATAACAAATTTATTATTTTACAGTTCTGGAAGTCAGAAGTCCAAAATGGATCTCACTAGACTAAAATTTAGATGTCAGTAGGGCTGTGGTCCTTTTAGAAGCTCTAATGAAGCATATGTTTCTTTGTCTTTTCCAGCTTCTAGAGGCTGCTGTCAATCCTTGGCTTGTACCCACAGGCAGCCATCATATCACTCTGACCTCTGCTTTTTCAAGTCTCCTGCCTCCCTCATTCATTTGTGAGGTCTCTTATCATTGAATTGGCCCACCCATGAAAATCTAGGATAATTTCCTTATCTCAAAATCCTCAATTTAATCACACCTGTAAAGTTTCTTTTGCTCTGTAAGGTAACATATTCACAGGTTCAGATGATTTACATATTTGGGGGACCATTATTCTTCCCTCCACAAGTAATAACACTAAAGTGATACTAATGACACTACTCAAGCTAGAAAAGTATCTCATCAGCTTGTTTTTTTAGAGTATACCTTCAAACCTTTTTTTATAGTAGGGTTGATTCTGCAGTATCCTCCAGTTCATATAGTTCTTTTTACTCTATAAACATTCCCTCACTGAATCTTTTCTAAAGCAATGACTTAGTTATGAATTGTCATGTATGAAGACCAGTCTCCAGATTAAAAGCTTTTGTTGCAATGGGAAGAAGAAAAACCATAGTTTATATCTGTTTCATAAACTACTCCTATGCCCCAGGGGCCAAGCAGGTAAGATAATTCCATCAAATAACTCAATGGAGTAAAAGATAAAGGAACAGTAGTTAAAGTGGCTAGTATACAGTTAGCATAAAGGCATGCAAGACAAATATTTTTAAAAGGCTTTTGATCAAGCTGAACAGGGCTTCAGGCTATAAGTTTGGACTCCTGATTTAGGTAATAGTTGATCTTTATAGTCTTAAGGTACTTAAACAGCTTTATTTACATTTTATAAAACCCATGGTCAGTGTCTTTTTAAGTATGTATTTGTTTTCCCACAAGGATTCATTTAGATACTGCTGGAGCACATCATGCCAGATTTTTTTTTAGATATCTTATATGTATTTTTTTATATACATATTTATATTTTATATATATTTATATATATTTGTTTCCCAGGTGACCTGACCTGTGACAGTTGATAAGGAGTTCACTATCTAGTTAGCTAAAGAGATAGGTTTAAAGATTGAGTGATGTGATAAAAGGCTGTAGTAGAGGTATGAAAACACATATGAAAGAGCAGTTAATTCTGTCTTAGGTTAGGAATATGGAGAAGTGGTCAGCTAATACTCCTTAAGTGGATGGAATTTGAACTGAGCTTTAAAGAATTAATTCTCTGTGAGAATTAGCATTCTATCTTTATTTTGCTTATTCTTCTATTAAAACTGTACTTATTAGAGGAAAAAATGTTGCTTATTTCATTTTATCTTCATGATTTTCCCCCCCAGATTTTGTCCACAAGTGCTTGTGGAAAAGATGGCTGATATTAACCTCAAAGAAGTAACCTTAATAATAGGCATAGTTGCTGCTTGTTATTGGAACAGCCTCTTTTGTGGTTTTGTTTTTGATGATGTGTCAGCAATACTGGATAATAAAGACCTGCATCCATCTACACCTTTAAAAACTTTATTTCAGAATGATTTCTGGGGAACCCCTATGTCTGAAGTAAGTATATATTACTTATATGTATCTCAGATTTTAAATTATTCCGGTAGCTTAGTACTCCTAATTTTTTATCAACATTGCATTGCCATCACCATAGTAATTATGGATTTTTTTCCTCAGAAATTTTATACGAGACATAACGTTTGTAATAAGTTAGATAGGAAGTTGAAAATGTAATCATATTTTTTATAGTACTTGATTCTTTCCTTGGTTGTATATCTTGGCTTAATCTCTTTAAAAATAATATATGTGTGTAAAAACCAAATGTGTTAGAACAGTAGGAGTAACACAAATCTAACTGAATTTATTTCTCTTTTTTCTCTCTTATGAGTCAGGCAGAAGAGATGACTGCTTGTGGTATTTAACCATTTAAAAATATATGTAACTTCAATATAAATAGATTAGACTTTAAGGGTAAAAATGCTAAGTATACATATTGTCTATTTTTCTGCAGAAAAAAATGATTTATTAAAAATTTTAATTTGTGCCATATCTCCTACCTAATACTTAATTTGATTTTATATTGAGAACCCAAAAGTTTAGTTCATGTTTATGGAGATATTTTTACTTTGCCAGTAACTTTATTTTGAAGGTCACTGTTAAACTGTTTGGGGTTAAATCTTTGTTAGCTTGGGATCATATAGATTAGATTCTAATTTTAGTTCTATCATGTAAAAGCTGTGTGAAATAGGTGGGAACACAGCTTTCAGATGACTGAGGCATTTTCCTGATCTATAAAAGAATAATACCTTGAGGATTAATTAATCTGTAGTACATAGCACATATTTGTTGAAACATAACATATAACACTTTTTGTCATTTGTCATTCTTGCCCCCTTTCCGCATTCTCCAAATCTGGAAGCTTCTCAAGGAGGGGTATGGAATCTTTCATTCCTCTCGTCACAAACAAGTATTTTTTCTTATTAAATAAGCAGGTTATTTATTTTCCTGCAACCTTTCCTATTCTCACCGAATTCTAGCCTTTAGAAGAAATAAGTCTTTTGATAACAAGGGGAAAATATGGTACTATTATAACATATATTATTTTCTAGATAATTTATTCCCCTCTACCCATACCCTTTATCCCCAGAGACTCTTAGAAATATGTGTCCATTCCCCCAATTTATGCTAATATCTATTTTGATTTTAATCATGTCATTAGATTTTGACCTGAAAGGTTTGAAACCAAAAGGTTTCTACAGCATTTTTCTGCTTTCTGTTACAAGTCATTTCAGTTCAATACGTTGCCTTTAAAAACAATTTTGTATGCTTGAGGTGAAATTCGAAGGATGTACAGGAATTAGCCAAGCAGGAAAATGCATTCTAGGTAGATAGCACTCATGTTGTGTATAGTCAGTACAGACTATACTAAATGCTTTTAATTTCAAAATGGGAAATGTTTGTTTCTTGTGCTTCCTAATGTTTCCTATTGTGGATGAGCAGGCTTAAGTCTATAGCTATATACCAGAGTTACAGCAAAATATGGTAAGAGGTAGGAGAGCAAAGAAGGTGAATGTGGATGCTTTTATAAAAAATTACAAAGAATAGGGCTTCCCTGGTGGCGCAGTGGTTGAGAATCTGCCTGCTGATGCAGGGGACACGGGTTCGAGCCCTGGTCTGGGAGGATCCCACATGCTGTAGAGCAACTAGGCCCGTAAGCCACAACTACTGAGCCTGCGCATCTGGAGCCTGTGCTCCGCAACAAGAGAGGCTGCGATAGTGATAGGCCCGCACACTGCGATGAAGAGTGGCCCCTGCTTGCCACAACTAGAGAAAGCCCTCGCACAGAAACGAAGACCCAACACAGCAAAAATAAATAATTAACTCCTACCCCCAACATCTTAAAAAAAAAATTACAAAAAATAAATAGGATAATATTTTATATCTTTTTAACTTGTGTGTTTTATTCTTAAATCTGGTTTGATTTTGTCTTAGAGTAAAAATATTTCTTGTTAAATGTAACTTTTAGTTTATAAAGAAATTCAGTACCTCACATAGAATTTGATTTATTGCCAATAGAGACTGCAATAACAAAGATATCTATTCTTTAAGAAAGTTTTTGCTCTTGTATTACTCTCTGTGTAGTATGTTTGGTTTAATATATTCAGGTTTATACATTATGGAGGTGTTTTTTCAAAAGACAACTAGACAGTACCTTTTTGAGTCATCATTGTTTAAACTGCACTGGCTAAGCATTCTGTTCTTATGTTTTCTTTTGAAGATCTAGCCAGCAGTTACATGAATGCTTGTATTGGTAATAGTTTGGGTAGCTGGCTTTGGAGAGAAATCCTGTGCTACAACTTGATTAATATCACTATTGTCCTACTTTTTAAAATCTGTGTATTGAAGAGGAATTAGTAGTTAGGTCTTCTTTTACTGTTAATTCTTTGACTACTATATATCAGAGATGAAATTGCCTTGTTTTTGTACAAAGGAAATAGGAAAACACACACACAAAAAAACACATGGAGCTATCTTTTATGTTTGTATTATTCTTGGGGCATTTCATTATTTTACTGTTATTTCTCAGCCAAATGTAGTAAAAGCAGTGATTAGTTCATGTACCCAGAAGGACCGAGATGCTTTAATAATCAATGATTGATGATTCTTTTTTCCTTTTAGGAGAGAAGCCACAAGTCTTACCGTCCCTTAACAGTATTGACATTTCGCTTAAATTATTTGTTTAGTGAACTGAAACCTATGTCATATCATCTCCTAAATATGATTTTTCATGCTGTGGTTAGTGTGATATTTCTTAAAGTCTGCAAACTCTTTCTGGATAACCGGAGTAGTGTGATTGCTTCTTTACTTTTTGCAGTGCACCCAATACACACAGAAGCAGTAAGTAAAACTATAAATTGATGTTTTTTGCATTATTTCTATACATGTCTATAATGGTATATATTTTTAAGGAAAAAAAATTAACCATGACTTTAATCCAAGTATTTGAAGACTCCTATTGGTACAGTGTCTTAACTTATTAGTGTAGAGTCTAACTTTCCTACTATGTAAAATTTTTTAGAACAAATTTTGAAACAAACATTTATTCAAGAACATAAGATGTAATCACTCAACTTTAGCGATGTAAAATATAAATGAATACAGTAATTTTCTTTGCTAATTTTTTTATGAATAAAGATTTTAAATATTTGTCAACTTAGCATTTTTTTTGTTTCAAAGGACAGAAAATAATAAGAGAAACTTCTGTAAGGGATGAAAATTTATCAAAATACATGCAAACATGGACAGATATCCTAACAAATGTTGCTCAGTAATTTCTTATTGTCTATTGCCATGTGTTTAAAAATTGTGAGCTGTCTCTACTATTGCCAATATGCTCATCACCAGCACATTCACAAACTATAACTGTATTTTTCTTGGTAATCTTGAGACTCCAGAATTGCCTCTCAGCAGAGCAAAGAGGACTCTATTCAGTTGCTTTGTTACAAGCTTTCAATTTTAAACAAGAGTCTGTATGCTTAAACTCTGCCAGGGTGTGTGTGTGTGTGTGTGTGTGTGTGTGTGTGTGTGTGTGTGTGTGTGTGTGTGTGTGTTGGAGGGGAGTTGTGTGTCTCTCCCAGTATCTTGAAACTTTTGGTGTCTAGCTGAACATTTTTCTGTACATCTACAAAAATAATAGGTTGTTTTAAGTTTTATAGTGAGTTCAGAATACTTTAAAGGGATTTGGGGGCTTTATATTTAAATTTTTTGAATTTAAAAGGATGTTTTAAAATTTACTGTCTTTTTAAATTTTAGTTTGCAGGTTTATTTGTGAGCTATAATGTGTTGAGTTTATTATATTTTTGTATTTTAAGAACACTTGTATTTTAAGAAAACATGTAAGAACTACATCTATATAGTGTACTATAATTGTGTAAGATGTTACCATTAGAGGAAGCTGGGTAAAGGGTAAACAGGACTTCTCTATACTATTTTTGCGACTTCCTCTGAGTCTATAATTACTCCAGAATAATAAAAGAACTGTTACAGTCACTGATAAATTTAATTTTATGGAAGACATACAAATTCACCACATGAGGGCACTCAAAGAATGCTTAAAAAGCAGAAATGTGCACTTGAAAAGTTATAGCAGTTTAATTTCTAATTAAACTGCTGTTGCAATTATAGTTAAATTTTCAAGATGCTTTTTATTAATATGATCCCCTCTCCTTCCCCTTCTAGGTAACAGGTGTTGTAGGAAGAGCAGAACTTTTGTCATCTATCTTTTTTCTAGCTGCATTTTTGTCATATACCAAATCAAAAGGACCAGATAATTCCATAGGTAAATGTCTAACATTTAACTTTTTACTTTAGCTATAAAACTCAATCAAGTAATTTCTGTTTACTTCAAGTGGTTCTTATAAAACATATGCCATTTTTGGTATTTATCTTTATATATCATGCTATTGTACTTTAGCATCTATGGACATAAGAAAAGTATGTGACATTGTCAATATTAAAAATTACTGTTTGTAGTTTATATTTTATCATGACTAACAGTTTCTATTTGATCTAATTTTTAAAAATTTCCCTAGAATATAAGAGTTTTAGGATCATTCTTAGTTCCATTTGCTGTTACCTGTAAATGATGAAGTACCAATACTTCAGTTGTCTTTCTATAAGTAACACATGTGAAGACTATGAATTGTATTGTTTAGGCAAAGTTAAAAGCCTGTTAGAGTATAACTTTTATTATGTGTTGATCATAGTTCAGCTATTTAATGAGTCCCCTCCATGTAGCCCACCCTGGAAAATGCTTTGTATAGATTAACCCATTAGCCCTAATGATGTCAGAAAACAAATTCCAGGCAATCAAAATGATTTTTTAAGAGTGTGGGCCCAATGGGCATGAAAGGGCACATAATGTGAAGCACATTATGACCTTAACCTGTACTTGGTTAATCTTAAAATTTAATGCTGAGTTTTTTTTCTATGTTCTTGGAGAATTTTCTCACTATAAACCCAAGGCACTGATGATAAAGAGCTTAATTTTGTATGTATGAAAACAAAGTTTCAAGAGATAAGCAATTTAGCTAAACAGCTTCTTAAATTTGTAATATGAGTAGGTTTCCCTCTTGCTGCTATGCACAATGCCTTCTTAAAACAGTTTTGAGTTCAGTATAACATAGTGGTTCAAAGCATGGACTCTGGAGTCTAGTTTCACATTTCAGGTCCACCATTTAGACGCTCCATTTACTATGTTGGTCAGATTACATAACCTCTCTGTGCTTTAGTTTCTTTATAAAATGTAGATAATAATAGTTCCTACCTGTTGAGAAGGATTAGTTGAGTTAAGCATGTTAAGGAATTTAAAGCAGTACCTGGCTCATAGGAAGCAGTGTCCCTATTTTCCCTGTTGCCTGTAATGCAGTGAGAGATAGTTCAGTAGCTAATATAGAATTGCAAACTAATATCGTCTTTAAATACCATCCTAAGCAAAACATGAATGATAAACTTAGAAAATATTGTGAACTTCAAGAGCATGATCAGGCTCCTGCCTATCACTCTAAACATATCTCCTGCAGTTTTGCCCTAGTCACTTCACTATAGCCAAGCAGACCTTCTTGCTACTCTTAAACAGGTGAAGCATTGGCCTTTATACTTGCTGTACCCTCTTTCTTGAATTTTCTTCCTTTAGATCTTCACATTGTTGTTTCATTTATATTCTTTACATCATCAGGCCTCAGCTCAACCGTCTCCCTCTTAGAGAAGTTCTTCATTCTAACTAAAATATCCTTTCATTTCATTATATTTTTGATCCTTAATAATTTTACTTGGTCCTTTTTAATGATTTCTTATTCTTTATAACTCCAGTATCTTTCCTTATTTCCTTTAGAATTACTTATTTTAAATTCTTGGTCTTTTCAATTAATTAATTAGTCATGTATGTTGTTATGTTTGTGCTCTCTCTTTTATAACTGTGGTACCCTTCAGGTATCTACTTATTTTGGCTTGTGAGCTCAGGCCACATGTTCTCTGAAAGTTATCAACCACTGTGTATAATAAAGAGAAAGACCAGCGCCACTCTGTCCATCTGGTGACTCATTAAAATCCAGGGTGGAGATCTCCAGTTTCCCCAGGGCCACTGTTGATTACTATTGTTACCATTCTACCAACCACCTGCTCTAGTCTCTTAAAGAGAATCAGCATTAAGAACAGGCCAGTCTACCACCCCCCTGCATTTAGATGGAAGGTCTGTGGGTGGAAGAGACTGCTGAAGAGTGGTTGGTCATTTTGTACCTGTAAAAAAAATCTTACTCCTTATCCCAGCAGGGCTTCTGAAGTATTCTCATTTAATCCCTGGAACACCCACAACCTACGGTAGCTGCAGATTTCTACAGTAAATGTGCAAATAATGATTTACCCAGGGCAGTCAGGATTGGATAGGTTAAAAAAAAATTTTCTCACTCTGTGCTTTAGATGTAGTCCCTCGAAACACCCATGCAAACATACATGCCCAGGAATTTCTCTCTTTTTTTGTTTTTCAATGCCCAGGAATTTCTCTCTTTTTTTGTTTTGAATATCTTAGAAGCCATATTTTCCTCTCACTTAATCTTTCTAGGCTTGATTTTGGGGAAAGGGGCTAACAGGTCAACAGGTCATGCTAGTTTACCACTTGACCAAAACAAAAACCAAATCATGTTGCTTTCTATCCCTTTAACCTACATTTCTCATAAAACTCATTTTTAATCTAAAAATACATAATTTTTTTAACCCATTTATTGTTCTCTTACAATAGGATATAACCTTCATTAGAGTAGGTAACTCTCTCTCACTTTCTTATCTCCATTTCCTAGAATGGTTCCTGGTATACAGTGAGTGTTCAGTATATATTTGTTGAGGAAATGATTAGGTGAATGAATATAATATATTTTAAATTCTAATTGAAAGCATACTGAAACTTGCTCGGGACCTCTCTCTGTCCTCTTTTCCCCTATGGTATTTTGTACGCCACGTTTCATTATTTCACTCCTGAGACCACAAACAGTTTTGTCATCATCTTTGTATTCTCCATTCTATCTAAGGTATTTGTCCTATGCAAAGATTTTCAATTTGTAATTATTTAATCACTTTAAATTCTGGGTTATTCATGTCCCATACCCTTTTCACAAGGATCATTCATCTTAGGCCCTTTGCACTTGATTTTTCATTACTTTAGGTTTCTGCTCAAATGTCATCAGTAGTGCCACTCATCTTCCCCCCTCCGTTTTATTTCCCTTCACTTTCTGTTTTTCTCTATAATACTTAGGTCACCATTTGACAAAAAATATTTATTGTTATCTCTCTCCCCTACAAATGCAGTAAGTACTTAAAATAACTATTTAGATACACCATTACTGAAGGTGTGTATCTTTACACACGTAAAGTCAGCTTGGAAACCTATATTTTGAAATTGGAATAGATTTTGATGATTGAAATTGATTCTACACTTCTACATGTATTTTTTTTTTCAGTGTCAACTTATGTAACAGGGGTACTTGTTTTGGACAAAATCACACATGGTAACTTTAGCCACAGAGACCTGATTATAAAAATCAAAGTGTATATGTTCATAAAGTAATTTAGTCACCAAAGAACTGAAGTGACTGGTTTCAGCAAAACGTTTGCCTTTATTAGAACTATTAGTTGCTTAGATTAAATCCAGCATCTTTGAAGGCAGCTGTTTGATTTCTCTTCCTTGGAGTGAAAAACAAATTAGTGAGAAGCTCTGAATTTAGTATCAGAAGAACCAAGTTAAAGTCATGGTCTCCTTATTGTGCATGACTCTTTTTAAACCTTCAAAATTCTTTCCTCATCTTAAAAATGAGTACGATTGCACCTGTCCTCATATCCCGTAAGGTGATTGAAATGCAATGAAATATGCTAAACTGGTTATATAAACTGTTTAATATACCTATTTTCAAGGCCATTGTTTCCCACTAGTTTTTAATCTATGCATACCCATTCAGGCATACCATTCTGTATCATCTGTATCATTCATTTGCCAAGCTTATTCCCTCCTCTATTCCTTTATTCATACATACCCCTTTCCCAATTCTTTCATGTCCTGTATATCCTTCAAGGTCCAACTTAGGTTCAACTTGTTTTGTAAATAATCATCTGCTAATTTCTTTGCTCTGTGAATTTCTTGGTCACTTTAGCAGGATAGTTCAACCCTTGATATAATCTGTTACATTAATATTGATGGTTTAGGCCTAACTAGAATATGAGACACTTTTTTGAGGAAGGAATACTATTATATCAATACTTAGTATTTCCAATAGTGTTCTCATTTTTTTTTTTTTAGTTGTTTTTCCTTTCGGTAATGTTAGTCTATACAGTATTTTAAAATTGAAAATGATTTCAAAAACAGATGTTTCTATATGAAGCCCAGTGACAAAAGAAAAATGTATTAGATTCATGAATTCTGTTCTTATTTATACCTGGATTTAAGTCAGTTATTTGAGTTTACTTTGATTAATGTACTTAATAAAAACTGAGGTCACACAATCAAAGTACCATATATTTCTTAAACTGGAAAAGAATTAGAAATCATATTTGCCAATAAGAAAACTAAAGCTCAGAAAAGTTGCCCAGAATCACAAAGCAAGTTAGTAGTAGATCCAGATTTACTTTCACAATTCATGGTTCTTTAATCAAATTACTACTGAGTAGTAGACATTTACTTAAAATTGATGAAGTAGGTTTTCCACTTAAATAGAACTTGTGAATATTGTTACAAATTTTTTAAAGAATAGTATTGATTTAAATGCTTATTGCTAACATGTTTTAGTTTTTATAGTCTTTTTTTAGTAAGAATGGTACTGTAGTTTGCCCAGTATTTTTCACTTTCAAGTTTTTTTTTAATTACTCACAGATATAATAAAGTATATAGGTACCTCTGTGATAATTTCAGGTATTTATCTTCATTTCAAATTGATAGTTCATTAATTACCACACTCAACCCTGTAAGTTTCTCTTCTCCAGATTGGCCACTCTACCTTTGTTTTTAAATGTTAGCATTTGGTTAGATAATTTTCCTGTCCACAAAAATTTTTTAGTTCAAATTATATATCTTGATTTTTTTAATATATAAAGCAAAAATTACAGCATTTCAATATGTTTTAAAATACAAAGTATGTCAGTGGAAAATAACAAATGTGAATATAGAATCACAAGTAAAGTTTTTCAGTAATGTCTAATAGTTGTCTAACTTAAAATATCCTTTTATGATATTATAAAATTGTTTCGTGTGTTTTTATATTTTTCTGTTCTTAAATTGCAGTGTGGACTCCTATCGCCTTGACAGTGTTTTTAGTGGCTGTTGCAACACTGTGTAAAGAGCAGGGAATAACAGTTGTGGGAATTTGCTGTGTGTATGAAGTATTTATTGCCCAGGGGGTAAGGAGAAATCTAAATTTCCTTGTTGCTATCTTTTATCCTATTTGAATCAGATTATAATAAACTTATTTTCTAAATGTATAATTATATAAAGTGGTCTGTTTACCAATTATGATTACTAAAAATTTGCAAGAAACAAGCATGTTTTGCCTTCATACCCACTGAAAATTACTTAACATTTTATATTATACCTTAGTTTTTTAAGAAAGTTTCAATAATGAAACCATTAAGCAACTTGGGGAAGCACACAGTAATACTGTACAGTATAATTAATTATTGGATAAGATTATTGGGCTCAGTTTTATTCATTATCAGCTCCACTGTTTGCTCCATGTTGGTTTTATAATTTTGGTCAATTTTTATTTAATCTTGCATTTAGAAAGTATGATAATTGTTGAAAAATTACAGTAAAGTGCTATTTGTTACTTAAACATTTTTTTTCTTTTCTAGTATACTTTGCCATTATTATGTACTACTGCTGGACAGTTTCTTCGCGGAAAGGGTAGTATTCCATTTTCTATGCTGCAGACACTAATAAAACTCATTGTTTTGATGTTCAGTACACTATTACTTGTTGTGATTAGAGTCCAGGTTATTCAATCCCAACTTCCAGTATTCACCAGGTATGATATTCTGGTTCTTTTGTTTTCTTCCATCTTTTTTTTTTTAACTTTGCATTTTAAGTGATTGTTAATGTTCCAGAAAGTCTTTGATTTTTATTGAGGTTTTTTTAACAGCTTTATTGAGGTATAATTAATACTTTTTAAAAACCTGCATATATATAAAATGTACAAATTAATAGGTTTTGATATACGTGTACACTCATGAAAACATCACAGTCAAGATCATGACCCCCCCAAAATTGGTTGTCTTCTATATCCTTAGTGAGTTTTGTCTACTTGTTTTATTAATTATTGAGAGAAGGATGTTGAAATTGCTGACTATAGCTGTAGATTTGTCTATTTTGCCTTGCAGTTCTATCAGTTTTTGCTTCATATTCTTTAAAGCTCTATTATAAACTGTATCAGTGTTTAGGATTGTGATGTCCTCTTGATGAATTGATCCCTTTATCATTATTAAATGAGCTTCATTCATCTCCAGTAGTAGTCTTTACTAAGACATTCATTTTGCCTTATATTAATGTAACCACTCCAACTATCTTTTGTTAGTGTTACATGGTTTATCTTTTACTTTTTAAATCTATCTATATCTTTATTATTTAAAGTAGATTTCTTGTAGGCTGCATATAGTTGGGTCTTCCATTTTTGTTTGGTCAGATAATGTCTTTTAAATGGGGGGGTTCAACTGTTGATAGTTTGTTGTAAATCTACCATCTTGCTAATCATTTTCTCTCTGTCTTGTCTGTTCTGTGTTCCCTTTCTTTCTCTCTCTCTTCTTTTGAATTGAGTATATTGTAATACTCCGTTCTTAGCTCCTTGTTGGCTTATTAGCTGTATATCTTTGCTGTGTATTTTTAGTGATTGCTTTAGGGTTTTTTGGTTATGTCCTTTGCTTATCACAGTTTATCTGAAAGGCATATTATAATTGCAAGTATATATAGTATAAATGTCAGCATATATAGTACAAATATTATACAATAAATAAGTTTTTATATAAATATATAAACATTATAAATAAGAACTTAGCCTTTGTGCTATTTGCATACATTTTTATTGAGTATACATTGTAAATCTAACAATACATTGTTAACTTTTGCTTTCAACAATTGTCTTTGGAAGAGATTTAAATTTAAAAATTCTTTTATGTTACACCATAGAGTTACTATTTCTAGTGTTCTTCATTTCTTTGTTAGATCAAGATTTTCATCTGGCACCATTTTTCCTTGTGACTGAAGGACTTCCTTTGACATTTCTTGACATGTAGGACTGCTGGTGATGAATTCTTTAAGCTTTTGTATATTAAAAAATCTTTATTTTACCTTCATTTTTGAAAAATATTTCCCGTGAGTGTAGAATTCTACATTGACTGTTTTTCATTCACTAATATAAAAATGTTGCTCTGTATTCTCTGGCTTGTGTTATTTTAAATGGGAAATCTTATCTTTATCTTTATGCTTCTGCATGTAATATCTTTTTTTTTTCTATGCCTGCTTTTAATAGTTTCTCTTGATCATTTTTTCTCATATATTTTTTAATTGAGACATTATTGACATATAGCATTGTATTAATTTTAGGTGTACAATATAATGGTTTTATACACACACACACACACACACACACAGACAATTGATTACCATAAGTTTAGTTAACATCCATCATCACACATAATTACAAAAATTTTTTTCCTTTTGATGAGAACTTCTGAGATCTACTTTCTTAGCAGCTTTCAAATATACAATACAGTCTTGTTAACTACAGTCATCATGCTGTACATTACATCCCCAGGACTTATTTATCTTATAACTGGAAGTTTGGGTGAAGATGGACAAACTTTCAGTTAATGTTTCTTTTATCTTCTTGTTTCTTATGCTTAGGTTAATTGAGCTTTTTAGAATCTGTAGGTCTTAACTTTATATAAATTTTGGAAATTACTTCTTGAAATATTTTTCACTTTGCTCTCCACTCTTCTTCTAGGACTCCAGTTACATGTATTTTAGGCTTCTTGAAGTCATACTGATGCTCTGTTTATTCCCCTTCCCTCCGAAGCTATTTTCCCCATTTTCATTTTGGATAGTTTCTTTTGTTGTATCTTCAAGTTTACTAATCTTTTTTCTGCATAGTCTAATCTGCCCTTAATTTTTTCTAGTTATTTTTCATCTCAGACATTGTTTTCATCTCTGTTTGAGTTCTTTTGGGGCCTTTTTTGTGTATTCCATGTTTCTACATGTTCTAGTACTTTAATGTCTTTATCTACTAATTTTATCATTTGTGCCATTTGTTGGTCAATTTAGATTGTATAGTTTTTCTCCTCATGGATTGTATTTTTCTACTTCTTCACATGCCTGGTAGTTTTTTTTAATAGATGCCATATGTGAACTTTACCTTAGTGTATTCCTATATTGTAGACCATTGTCCTGGGATGCATGTAAGTTATTTGAAAAATGTTTCATCTTCAAGTCTTGCTTTTAAGCTTTGTTTTGGGAGACCACAGTAGCATTTAGGATAGGGCTAATTTTGCTTCCGTGCTGACACAAGACCCTTCTGACCACTCTACCGATAGACTATGAATTATGAGGATTTCCACTCTGGCTGCTGAGGAACTATTCCCAGTTGTATTTGATATTTGTGAATGTTTATCTAATCCTTTCAGAAGGTATTTTCCTAACTGTATTAGTTTTCTTAGACATGCTTTAACAAATTACCAGAAACAAAGTGGCTTAAAGCAGCAGGAA